TTTTCTTTGATGTGGTGCCTGTATTCTGTAATCCTTCCTAATTTTGAATTAAATAGATATTTTTTATTATTTCTCGGTTTCTGGCGGGTTGGATTCGTTAGAAAAACAAAAATATTAGGTTTAACATGATTTCAGTAGTTTTTCTCCCAAATTTGCAGCCACTATTGGCGCCTGTTTATTTGTTCTTTGGATCGTAGGTGATTGATTCATCGCATCACGTGTGATTAATCAAGAAGCCCTGATCTAAATGATTGGTCTGATTGCTCATGATCGGGAACTACAGATTGAATTCCGTCACAGTTCTCTGTCACTTTCGGTTCTCGATGATTCGTTTGAGTGACTCAGGTACTGGGTTTCGCATTTCCGTTACTGTTATTCTGGAGCAGAATGGGGACAAAGGGAGAAGGAGTCGAGGATGGGACTCATGAACATAGAAAGTCTCTCCTTCTTCGTAATTAAATTTAATTATTTTTCTTAATTTTCTGGAGTGGATATACTTAGGGAATTTGTAAAATCATACTTATTTTGGTGCATGATCATAGAGGGCGGGGGTGTACTATAGTAGTGTACTTATAAGTGGCGCGCTATCATACACTCATAATCACTAGTTCGAATCCCGGATCAATATCCGCCTAGGTTTACCAAGCCTTTCATCTCTCCGGAGTGGGCTTTTGGTATCAGACTTGTCTGGGAAAGATCAAAGCACCGACTTGTACATCGGCTGGCCACCGCAAGTCATTGTATAGGCCACGTGCCATTAATAGGCCACTGAGATCCTAAATCGAAGTCGAATGCAGGGCGCATCCCTCATGGGACTGCTTTACGCCCAAAGAGTTTATCTCCTCCAAGACTTTTCTTGACGGAGACTATTATCTTTCCACAGGCTTTGACAAAATTGAGGTCGGAATTTAATGATTGAATGAACTATCAACAGTGGTCGAAAGATCTTTCCTACTCCGTTATTTTCTAAATTTTTACAAATTTTCAAATTTTTCGGTCACGATCAAATTACGACTTACCTACTTTACTTCGTCCTTCACTTCCATGCCCCTTGTTTTTGACACCCTCTTGAAACCCCTCATTGAACATGGCTTACGATTGATGGGTCAGTAAGAAGAGCCCCATCTCCTCTGGGTTTTTTCATAAATGAGAACGAGCATTTGTTTCTCGTCGTCCTAGGTTGTCCCTCGTTCTATCCCGCCTCTCCCGTCGTTTACCCCGCGGTCAGTCTACTCCGACCTCTGTCATCGTTTTCGATACTCTACTGGTTTTTCGTCAAACGACTTAAACAATCCGCAACTTCACGGAAACTCAACCAGCTCCAGCGTATCCTGAGCTCTATTGTCCGTAACGCTTACACTCTGGTGTGCGAAACTCATGGGCGAAAGTAACTTTTGCATGTTATGCTGCTGCTAAATACAGTAACTCGATGAACTTTGGGCCCCCATGGGAGTAGCTGAAGCGGTTTCGAATTATAGCCAATTTTTAATTATTTCCTTTGTTTTAATTGGTTTTATTATAGCTAAACTGGTATGTCATATTGCTTTATTTGTCTTATAATGAGTGTTTTCCTCAAGTGCGGTTCATTCCCGTCAAGATGGTTTCGTGTTTATACTTCCGGTTTCCAAGTCGTCTTGCATGGTTCTCGTTTATACTTACTTGAAGTCTGAACCCTTTATGATTCTCCGTCAATTTTGACCCTTTTCGGTCATCAATGAATTCCTACATTCTTCTAAAAGTAATTTTGTATTTTGTATGTGTAGACGTGAGTTTCTCGTTATTTTTACTAATCATTCTAAGTATTTACAGGAACCATGTTAGGTCCGGGCCAACCGCCATTGCCTCCGATGCCACCGGAGGATCAGTTGGCAACAATGTTTGATCAAGTGCTGGTGAGTCAGCTCTATTTAAAGTGTGACTTCATACGATGCTGCTTTACGATTTCTTTATCCGTTCGTTGGATTTATGAGTGTTTCTTAATAGTGCTTCACAATAGTTGAGCGAAACAACACCTGCATCTTGTTTGTTCTTCTTTCCTCGCCGTAGAGGCGATTCCGTTGTTCGAACGTCTTTTGAAAAGCCCACGATGAATGTTCTTACGGCTAGTCGTACAACAATGGACGTGTAGTGTACGCGCACTGACCAGACACTTCACAGAATCTCAAATGAGGGTTTCGAAGAGTCTTTTTTGGGACATCTTGAAAAGTCGTGTCTTAAAGATGATTGGGGAGCCTATAGAGCAGCTAAGATAGTCGTCTTCTTCATAACCTCTTAAGATTAAGAGATCGAGCTGGTGTAAAACGGAATTTATCCTGCAGAGACTTTAGGGAATTGGGGTAGGGGCACTAGAGGTAAGGGAGGTAAGGCTGTGGGTACTCCTTGAGTTTTGCATAAGCTGCATGCTGCGAGTTCTCTCTGGACATTACGACATTGAAAAGTAGTTTTCATTTTCAAGTACCCGAAAATTGTCCAAGGTATCCCACGGGGCATAGGAAATAAACATTGTTGTTGCTGAGGAAGCAGTAGCTACTTCTACGGGCGGAGCTTCTAAGACTCAAGGAATTTCGAGGTCATATTTCCCGCAGCCGCCACGTTCCCACGTTGTTAAAGAACAAAGTATTAGTTTAATGGGTAAAGTGTAGAGTCAAGTATGGTAGCGATAGCACTATTATGGTCTAAGGATGATGGTTTTGGGAACGGTATCCACCCAGCCAACTCTCCCACCATTCCGGGTATCCCTGAATGGGACCAGAATCATCTAGAAAGATAAAAGCAAATAAATTTGTCTGGTATCACAAGTCATTGTGCAGACTAATTACGCACTCCAAAACTATGTACTACGATTCTGAATTGTGCGAGTCATTCCCAGAACGTGATACTTCGACCGAGTCGCATATTGTGGTTATAATTTTGTATTGACAATGAGGTTAAGCCAATGTGAAAGGTGATTGATAGAAATGCGAGGAAGGCGAGATACTTGTAATTTTCTTATAATTTTATCAGTTGTCCAATTTCCTTTGTGAAGATGTTCTTCGGAATGAATACGGAGCAGCTGGATGATGACTAGTGGGGTGGCTCTTTCCTTTGACATAATGGGTTTGATTACCAGTCAAGTTTTAGGAAAAAATATGAATATGAATGCTTTCAACTTGCTCTGGAGGGTCTCACAGGGGTTTAGCTCAGTATTTCTGATCTTCTTATAGATCAGTTAGAATGAATCCAATCTCAAAAGGTAGCTTCGTTCGGGTTAGTTAGATTTGATTCAGGGTTCATAAAGTAATTTGATACATTTTGCCAGTACACCAGGTTGCGGTCGAGTTTTTAGTAAACTGACCGTTTGAGTTTGTGGAGTCAGATAATCATGGGCGTATCGAGGTTTCTGCACTCGTTCCTCCTCTTTGGATAGCTTCAGTGGCGTAGTGATAATAAGAAAGAGGGGTAGGATTTCCAAATAGGATGAAGATGCCGGTTATTTGAAATGCAGGGGTAATAGGAGACTCTTCCAGCAAATCAGTGTGTGATCCCCCACCTCCTTTGAAAAACCTCTTTCTGTAGTGTATTTGCTCGGATAGTGTTCGGATATTTAGCGAAGGAGCATGCCGAGTTTAGGCGAGTATGTGAAGAGTTCAACCTAAAAACGCGAACTGGGAAGTGGATTTACCGGGCTCAAGTGGGCTATAGGAAAAACGCACGATGGTTGGTTCCAGCCTTCAAGCGTTCCTGCCCACCAACGAAGGAGTTGGAGACAGCCACTTAAGTCTTTGCTAGACCATTGGTGTCTAGGCTTTTGCTTGCTGGCTTCTCCCCTGGTTGATTATTCGGATTTGTTTTACGGCCATTTTTGTTGTCGGACCCTGCCACAACCGTTGTTGGAGCGTGACAGTGAGTTTTCTAAAAGCTTTTATACTGGTAAACTTGGCTGAAGTGTAAATTCTCTGTTTTCAAAGCGTGAGCAGATGAATTGCTCCGCCTCTCATAATAAAGTGACAGCATTTGCTTGGGATCCAGTGAGAGTTACGGTTTTATGATTGACCTGATCATCTAGAGAGGCAATTTTAGCGAAGATCCATTCTTGTTCTGTCAAATTTCCTAAATTACTCTGAATCTTGAGGGCTTTTTGTAGAGCACAATAATACGACTGAAGAATAGTCGTCAAAGCCAAGAACGTTTTTGCCATTGCCCGGCTGTTTATGGTAAACGAGGCGCGAAGGGACGTCGGTTTTGTTTGGATGAAATGGGCCATGAAAGTAGATACTTGACCGAAATACTGATTAATCGGAAGGCTTTGTTTGTGATTCTGGTAATGGGAGGAATTCGAAGGAATCGGGCCGCGAGCGCAAAAAAGGTCTCAAGTTCTCGAGATATCAAAAATCTTCATTCAACTGATATGAAGGTTACGCGGATTCTGCTTCTGGCTGGAAATACGGTCTCAAGCGGAATTTGAACCTGTAGTTTCGCCCTTTGAGGAGTTTTTATCCACTGCGCCATTACCCTATCTGAACTCTATTGGTAAAGCGACGTCAATCGTAAATGTATATCACCAACAGCATTTTCGATTTGTGGATTGGATGGAAGATAGCATTAAATCGCTGAATGTGGGCAGTAATGTACCTCATATTATAAACACACTCGATGGAATTTTTTCAGAAGCAAATGGATTTACCAGTCGATAAGATGCGAATACTGAAAGAGTATAATAATGAGAAGAAATGGAAGGTGGTTGTGGATAGCGTGAGTACTGAATCTTGTTGATTTTTGCTTATTCCCTGATTGCTTATTAATTTTTGTCTTTGTTCTCCATGTTATTTACTTTAACTAGAGTGTTTCCTCATAAAAATGATAATGTGAAAAAGGATTATCCAAAGGGTTGGTAATGTGATGTTTTCAAAGACAGACTTCAAATTTGGTTCGGGAATCGGTAGGGAGCCGTCTGTGATTTCTGCCCCTAACTTCTGATTACTTTGTTGGATAAGAAGTGGAGAAGCGTCTATTCATCCGTTCTAGCCGTTCGGTAGTATTTCAAATAGAGGTCACTGGTCCTGTCTTCATTGGGAAATCGCCGGTTCCGAATGGTTTGTAGTTTGATTGAAGACCGTGTTTGCTCCAAGTCTGGAGCAGTAATTTCCGTCGTACGGGAGACAGTATGGAACGAAATTCAACTCTTCGGTTTTTCTCACGTCGTTTTGAAGTATGTTTATGAACTTTGAAAATCGAAAGTGGGCCTACCGGGCTATTACCAGATTCTTTCGGGCCTAAATTGAGTACCCCATTTAAAGATGCTTGCAGAAAATTTAATGGAATCGGGATCGGGACTTTCTAGTAGGCTATTTGTTATGAAAAAAAAAAGATTGTTGGAAAAAACAACTCAGTTGAAAGACTGACTTTCTGTTTTTAGCAAGGCATGAATGCCCATGTGGATCCAGCAAGTTATTTGACAAA